CTGGATTGGGCCGAGAGGGTAGCACTCACCTATGCTATGTGACCTTCTCTTTTCCCGCCACCAGCACACCCTTTTTCTCCTGAGATGAACAAGGTTTTTCAATGCAGAACACATTAGGGGGTCGGGTATGTCGTATGCTGTCGTCGTTGCTTGGTGTAACGCAGACAAAACAGCCTTCTATGGCATAGCCAGCTGCAGCACATTTAGCACGCACTCACGCCAACGAGAACCCTTCTTCCTTTTGTTCTTCGAGTACTTCGATGATGATGATATTAAATGCGGACATTACTACTACGTTTAGGTAAGAATGACAACTCAATCCACCTGCGAAAATTGTAAGAGGAAGCAAGCATGAAATAGCAAGAGATAGATCGAAGGAAAGAAAGTAGGAGGAAAAGTATAAATAAAGAGAAGAAAGCACACCCGAATAAGGTGGAAAAAAGAACAAGAAAGAAAAAAAGGTGGCAGATCCCACGTACCTGGGAATCGACGTTATGCGAAGCATGCGAAAGGAAGGTGAGCGTGAACCACTAGAGATGTTTCACGAAGATTAGCGTCTATTTGAAAAGAAGTTCCGAGACCTGGCGTAGCTCTGTAGCAGAATGCTTGACTGCCACTCAGAAAGCTTGGGTTCGATTCCTGCTGGGACACTGAAATTTATTACTCGCATTCATTGGGCATTCAGTGCTGCCTATGTCAGGTTTTTCTTAACACTGACATTTATTATGTGTCTTTGTTGGGTCGACGCTACCGATGTCGGGTGTGCTTAACCCTGATACGTTAAATTTGCCCACGTGTGTTCTCGTCGTTCCTGGGTAGATACTAAGTGTCAATCGCCTGTGGCACATACCCGCCTACCAGCGGCACATACCTGCCCGTGGTTATGTGCCACTGTCTGGCGGGAAGTGTTTGACGACGTACACGACGGGAATTGGACATTATTCATGTCTTGACCAGTGCGTCATATTCGTCACGCCATCTTACCCTCCCATGCTTATTTTGGCTCACTCCAATTTAAAGGTGCGACCACTAAAGCCCCCAAACCTAAGCGCGGCTCGATAGATAGATAGATAGATAGATAGATAGATAGATAGATAGATAGATAGATAGATAGATAGATAGATAGCCGAAGATCAAGGTAGCCGAAGATCGCTAAGAAATGTTTCACATTTAAAAGGAGGAGGGAAGAAAGAGAAAGTTGAAGAGCCGACGGAAAGAAGCCTGTCAAGTGGCGCACTTCCTTCAAGCTTCTCACTGCTATGGTGAATCTACTTACTGCGCGGCCTTGAATGAACGTATCGTTGGGCGGTATGTGCACGGCTTGACTTAGAGAACCAAGAAATACTTACCCTCGTATTCACAAACGCTCCTCGTCCCGACTTTCACCCTTCACTTGACAGAGTTTAGCACCGTGCCGCTGCTCTGCTGAAAGTGACACTGCGCTACCCAGGAATCGCAGCAGATTATCGCTGATATGCAGTGACTTTCCCTGCCTAGAGACGGCGTTCCCATCGGCCTTCTCAAGTGAAGTTTAAGCGTCGAGTGGAGGGACGTTCTACAATATGGGGGTTAGTGTAAACTGCCGAAACTCGGGAGCGAAATGTAATGACCGATGCCAAGGGGGTGCTGCCAACGAAATAGTGCGAACAGGTGCAATAGCCCAATAAAGCCCACAACTGCAACATAGCTTATCAGTAGAAATACTTATCAAATACTTGCAATACACGGCAATGATAATGTCTGACGAAATCAGCTTCACTGTTTTGGTGGCTTTCAGGGAGTGAAATACCATTTTTTTTTTCTATTTCATAAGGCCCAGTTTGAAACCAACTTTCGAGATCAATTTATTCTTCGTATGCCTTTCGGCAAATTCAACAAAAAAATAAAAACAACAACAAAGTATGTACTGTAGCTTGGGCACTCAAAACTTGAGTGACGACCGCTACAGAAAAAAAGAGTAAAGAGAAGAAATGAGGATATTACTTTGCTGCAAGCGTACAAAACTACAATTAGGAGTAATTCTCATTTAGATTGAAATCCTGTAGCCAGAAAGTATTCCGGCGTCCGAGCTCTATATAAAAAAAAATTGCGGGCTCTCATGCCCACGTTTCTGATGTACTTGCAGTGAATAGCTTTTTTTTTTTTTTTTGAGGGTTCAGAACAGCGAAGTTTTCAGAGAGGCTAAGTCAGCACGGAAGAAAAAGTATTGCTGGTGCGGACAAGCTGTTAGGCACGACATTTTAATTTTCAGGAAGCATACTGACTTAGCCTAAATTCAGAAGCCCGAGTCGGAAAGTGCTCACGAGTTTACCAGACGAAAATTTTGCTCTGTGCGCCTAACTTCACCTTTTTCCTGCCTTGCTACCTTTCCTTCCTTCGCTTCCTTATAGCTCTACAGCACACGCAGAATGGCAAGCCGTACGCTCTCAAAATAAGTACAATGTCATAAACGGTGCAAGAGTGGTCCGTTTTCTCTGGCTTTTTGTTCAAGAGAACGATCAAGGTCTGTGCCAATCGTGATTGAACATTTCATGCTAGACATGTTGAATAACAACCAGCTTGTTGCTTACAATTGTAAGGCAATGTTGTGCAATTGAACAGGCGCATTTTTGAGGCAGCACTGTCCTCGTAAGAAATAAAGAGATGTACTGCAGCAATGAAAAGACGGGCGTAATCAAAAAGCCAGGTGTAGTTTCCAGAAAGCCTAGATGTTATTACTTACAAATACAAGAAAACAATTTTGACGGCGCATTCATTGCACGTTTTTTTTTTCGCGTGTGCCAGAAAAACTAAGAGCACACGCTGCGCCCCTATTACTTGGGTGGAGTGGACAGGTGAACTACTAACTCGGGCCAATTTTTCTACCTGCCTCATTAAAAGACTGGACCTCTCTTCATCTAGCGTGTTTTCGCTAAAGACAAATTGAATTTCTTACTCACGAGAAAGACAGCACGACTCTTGCACGAGATCTCTAATTGGAAAAAGTTTGAAGGGCAGGTGCCCTATACGTAATCCGCAATTTCAATATTGTTTTTCTCTTGGAAATGTAAGTGGGCTCTCCCACATTGAAAGGAAGCAGATGGTCAGCTTTTAGAATGGACGCGGAGGTCCTATTAAGAACTTGGTATTTCAGCTACAAAAATGAGACAACGCGAAAGGGGCATAAACAGATGTAAGCCGTCGTAACGGGTCAAAGCCAAACCACAGTTTGCAAGGGTACCTTGATTGATATGTGGGGTTTAACGTCTTAAAACCACTATATGATTAAGAGAGACGCCGTAGTGGAGGGCTCCGGAAATTTAGACCACGTGGGGTTCTTTAACGTGCACCCAAATCTGAGCACACGGGCCTACAACATTTCCGCCTCTATCGGAAATGCAAGGGTACCTTGGTCTTGGTTATTGAATGTGAATCCAGAAACAACGCGAAGGACAACGTTAACAGAGGCTACAAAAACAATTGTTAGAGTACACACAAAACCCTTGAAATCATTATGAGGGACGCCCAAGTGGAGAGAGAGAGGGGGGCTTTGAAAATCTTGACAGCATGGGGTGCATTGACTGCACAGGTATCTATTATTTCGCCCCCGTCGAAATGCAGCCACCGTAGCAATGATTTGGTCCAGTGACCTCCGTGTCAGCAGTCAAGCACTAACTACATTCACTAAACCAGCGCGGTTATAGTAAATGCTACCAACGCGTTCCGTACTGTGCTTGTAGCATCTTCTGTTCTTGTCTATCATGCCGTTTCTGTGAATCATAATATAACTTGTCTACACACCAAACTGGAAACATTTCCGCTGGGGAAGCAAACTCTGTCGACTTAAGCGTGACTGTATCGGAATGTCGGGCCTTTTTTGAGGCCACATGATTATAATACGCGTTTTATACGTAGCGATTCTAAGACAACCAACTGCCGATAACATCGAACAAACTACTACATTTGGCTATTTCAGCCCTTATTTGTGCCTCTCTCTTCCAGTGAGGGCACGGTCTGTATAAAGCGCTACTTTGTACGAAATACGCGAAGAATGAAATGCGGGGCGTCCTAGCTTATCTGCATCATGAGAGAGAGTTTACCTGCATGGAAAGTGTGGCATTTTCGCTGGTGTTTGTTGTTCTTCCTGGTCACTAAATTGACAGTCGGCGAGAAGAACCAACTCGGCTGTGTCAATGTGTTGCTTAAGGAAATAACCGGCCGGCAGTTTTAAAGATTCATCTCGCTGCATACACAAAAATATGTCAAGATATATTAACTTCATAGCGTCGAAGAGTTCGTTTGGCAAGAATGTCGATGTCGGCGTCGCAAGAGAAAAGTCAAGGTTTTACGTGAGTGCAAAGTTCCGCAAGTGCAGATAGATGCACATAAAGAATAATAAAAATCATTGGTTGCAATCGGAATCGGACCCTGGATAGCTGGGTGGCAAGCAGACGGTACACTACAGGCCGTGCTTAAAACTGTACCGAAAAAAAAAAAGCCTATACAAATGTCATGCAGTGTAAAGAGCGTCCTTGACGCGCGTAATATTGCGCGACAGTCCCGAGAAGTGAGAAATCAGCTTAAAGGCCCATTCATTACAAAAAGCACACAGTTGATCCTAAGCAGCAACAGCATTAAGTGCACACGTGATCATGTTGCCTTGCGGGTGCGTAATGGATGCTTCGCCAGTTCGCAAAAAGTAGAAGTATGGCTTAGTTGGAGCTTCACAACTTTAATCGCAGCAGGCATTCCAGGATAACTTAAGATGGCCAGTTTTGTGCGCCCTGACGTTCATTTCTATGCCGCACGGTTGAGTTGTCATCCGGAGAAACGAAGCTACGCTGCAGGTGGTTGAGAAGGCTGTGTGAACTGGGCCTGACTACGCCATGAACCACTGCTTTTATGACGAAGCTCTAACAACACCCCCGTTTTTTTTCTCGTAATCTTTCGTGACGTATACTACATACGTAATTTCTTGGCAAACGAATACGTCACACGCCGCATGAAGGAGAATTCGAAAACGTAACAGTTGTCTTTATTGTTTAAAAATATGCGCAAGTACTCAAGAACATTAAAAACAACTGCATTCGCGAGTATTCACAAAAGAGACGCCAGATGGTGCAGCAGGCGTTACGACTTGTGTGAAACCATCACGAGGATTTGCAAGCAAGACCTCCAGTCAGGTTGTACCCCTGTGATATGCGCCTTCGGTATCACCGTGCAACCATATACCAAAGAACAGTGACACGCTGTACGAGAAAAAGAATGAGCGTCATGGGGTCTCAAGGTCTGGAAATCGAAAATATATATTTAATAGCACACAGGTACAAACAACTAAACTACACGCCCGTTGTCCATCAGTCCTGTCAGTCTCATTGTCCAGACCACAGTGGCAGTTGTGACGTGTGAGCCCACCAAGAAGAGAAGGCACACGGTTTCCTGAAAAGCAAGGTCAAAACAAAGAGAGGAGAAGAAAGAAGACAGAGAGAAAGAATTCGCAAATCCGGAGCAAGAACAGCTTGAAACGCGTGCAAGTAAGTGGAGAAGTCAAAGTCCTAGTGATATCACACTTGTTCCGCTAGAGTGTCGGCAGTGAACAAAAACTCGAAAGGTAAGAATTTTGACTGGATCGTCAGCTTATGTGCGACTAATGGAAGTAGAGCTAGCCAGCTCCCTATTCGACGAATTCCGTGGTTGCTACTGAAGGGTTTCTACACACAGAACACAACACGCGCTGGCTTCCTACTCTCCCTTTTTGTTGTGTATTTTAGTTATTACTTCCACTTTCTCCTCCCCATGGGTAGGGTAGCCAACCGAGCCCATACTGAGTTGGTTGGTGAGTGGTTCGTGAGGAAAAGGAAGAAAGCACCTAATTTCTGTCTGCCTACAGGCGACACGGCACAGCGCCTGTTGCACTCCTGCCTTTTCACTTCGTTTCCCCTCCCCTATCTCTCTTGCCTCGCCTTCACTTTGAGCCTACGTACAAATTAGAAAGGAAGCTAGTTTAGTTTCGACCATCGTTCTCTTATGTAGTTAAATTAATGTTTTGTACTATCACTCCCCCCCCCCCCTGCTGACGTGTGTGACAACACTTTCACTTATGAAATTGATGGCGGATGCGACATTAGAGTATAAAAAGGTGTGCAGTATGCGTCCCTGCATTTCCGTATTGTGTTTCTCGGAGATTTCCCAGGGATTATGCCTAATCTATTCCGATACTCATGAACTTCATATAACTGCTATGGAAACATTGAAAGCAGGATTGTAACACTGCACACAAAAATCCTTAAATAAAAAAGGCTACGCTCTTTCACGTCCTCTCGGCATTTTTTCTTTTTTGCACGGCAGTTCCAGTTTTACTGATGAAACAACCCACGATGAAGCTATTCTGCACACACACACATTGCATGTCCAGCGACTCTAGTTCTAAGCACTTTCCCGCCTACGACTCGACTGCAGTTCCTTCCGCGTGTGCGATGCACAATTCACGTATTGTACATTCAGGTGTCTCGCACAGTCCTCTTTTCAGCGTCATAAAGCTCCAGTGAGAGCCAGATGCCTATGCGAGCTGAACACATCACGATGACACGAGGGTCGCAGATTGCAACTTGACTTGTCGCTTCACGAATCGTCGAAGCGAACATCTTCGTCGTGCTCGCACTTTCTTCAAGAGAACATTTTTTTTTTACTTCTTGAGCTTCTGTGGCATCAAGATCTCTTTAACCTTATTCGTAATCCTTTCGAGCATGGAGAGCCTCTTGACCAGCTTTCCGTCGGGGCCAACCTCGTGGTGATGCAGAAAGAGATAGTCCAGGAAGTCATGGAACACCAGAGGGAAGCACAGGAATATGACTACGAGAAGCCAACGGACGAATCCGTCGCATCGGTACATCTGCCTCGGGTGGCGGGTGCAAACTGCCTTCTCGAGGGTGTCCACGACTTCGTCGACGTTGTCGCGCGCGAAGAACGCCATCGTGTTGACCGAGATGTCTGCCATCTCGGAAGCATAGTCGTCGCCGTACGCGTCCTTCACCTCTTTGGGAAGATTGCTCTCCTGGTATTTCTTGACGATGGCTTCCGGCCTCGGAAGAATAGCGGTTCTGGTTATGAAAGAAGAAATAATATAGTGGCAATGGTTACCGACACTTTATATCGCACATAAAACTGGAAGAAGCACAAAGAACTGCAGCTGCTAACCCGCTCAAGACTATGCTCATGCATGCTGTCTAAAAATATAGATAAAACTATCGCAGTTGTTAATGATCGTAATGAAGATTACGAGCTGTCCAACAGTGGAGATAAAAATATCGCATTGATGAATGATGAACCACTCTAAACTGCTTTAGGTCTCTAGTAAATTTTATGTAGCAAATGGATGGTTGTTATTTCTCCTGCGCACAAAAGTCTCGTTGCACAAGTTGGCTAAAAGCATTCATTTATGCTGAAGTGAATACACGCATAAATTGGTTTATTTCATGGGAGTAGACCACAAGTTCTGTTTCTTTTTATGAAGCAGTTGGATTATTAACAGCACTTTTTTGCTATGTACTAAAAAAGTCGATATATATTTTTCTTCAAGCGAATGTGTATCTAGGCAATAGACTGCGTCATCTGAATATTGCGGTTACTCAGGATCGGCAACCACGCCCGCTTACTTGTAGTAGGTGGGCTCCACCAGGACGACCGAGATGCCCCACTTCATCAGCTCTCGCCGCAATCCATCACCCAAGGAAATCACAGCATGCTTGGTCATACTGTACACGTTGTTCCAAGAGGCCGTCCCTCGTCCTGCAATAACGCGTGGCGTTCCAGCGGTTTGCAAGATACTGTTTGAAGGAGAGCTGTTGCCCAACATCAAGAAGCACAAGTATTCGCGAAAAAAAGATTAAGTGATAGCACTTAACAGCCAAGCATTTTAGGCTACCGGTAGGTTGTGGTCCGCCATGCAAAACTCAAGAGGCAGGCAGGCGCCAGTAGCGGGTACAGGAGGTACGAGCGTTAAACGAAAACTCTGCTCGGCGAAGTGCAGCACGTGGAACAGAGAGATAGAAAGAAAAAGTAAGAGAAGCACAGGGAAAGAAGACAACCGAAAGAAGCAAAAACGTAGTCAGATATAAAGGGAATGAAGATATAAAAGATAGAAAGAGTAGCAACATAGGAAGAGAGAGAAAGAGAAAGAAAGTCACGAAATAGAAATAAAAACAACAAATAAATAATAAATAAAGGAAGAAAAAAAGAAAGAAAAAAGATAAAAAAGAAAGAAAGAAAAAGAAATGCAAGGAAAAGAAATGCGAAGAAAAGAAATGCAAGGAAATACATAAAAAGAGATACAAAGTACAGAAAAAGAGCGAAACGTTCTAAGAAGATAACTATAAAAGACAACCCAGCTCCACCCACCTTTTCAGGATTGGTACTGCTAGTACGAAGCTTGCATTTTTTTGTTTGGCGCGTATATCACGTATGTGTATATATTGCTACGTACCGGCAGCTACAAAAACTTAACTAGATGCGGAAAGGCAGAAGGAAAGCCGAACACTCTGCTTAATAAACAAGGTGGGGTGTCAGGAAGTTAAGCATGGGTCCTTATACTACACAGCGCTACACATCAGCAACGTACGCACGCAGCTGTACGCACCAGCGTAACTAGCCGTGAGCACAACGCGGCCTCGAGACTGGCGCAGCAGTGGCAGGAAGGCTTGTACTGTGCGCACGCAGCCGAACACGTTGATGTCGAAGTGCTGCTTCATCTCGGCGATGCTCCACCATTCGAGCTCCATGGCACCGAACACGCCGGCGTTGGCCACTACCGCCCACAGACCTGCAAAAAAATGTCAAAGAGAAGCGAGTCAGCTCGGGCGTGTTTTTTTTTTTGTTTTTAGTTGGTGCGAAAAAATTTTTCTGTGTAATTTTCTGTTCGTAAAATTAAAGCCCCATTTACTTATTCACTCACTCAGCCACGCTCTAATTTATTTACTCACTCACTCATTTATTTATGTATTCATTTATTCATTAAAAATGGAAGACGAAGTGTTTCTTTGATACTTTTTTCACGATATCTTTAGAATATTTTCGACAGCAGTGCCGATAAAGTAAAATTCGGCAGATCCCACGTGCAGTGGGAATTGATGATATGCGAATCACTAATGAGGAAGGTTGATATGCCACTTTAAAATCGGCACAACGTTACGATACGCAGGTAAATACGCCGTACATGGCTTTGATGTCATTATTATCATGTTTTGACGTGTCATTTACCTGTGTCGTCTATTCAAGTCGACGATGCCGAATTCAGTATATGTGGAGCTAGCGAAACGACCACGAGCGCGCTATGAGCGTAGGATGTAGTCAAGTTTTACATGACACGCATGCCATGATTATCATGTTTGCACGTGTCATTTACCTTCGTAGTCTATTCACGTCACGTGATACTAAATTTAGTATATGTAGAGCTAGCGAGACGGCCGCGAGCGCATCATGAGCGTGGTACGTTGTCATCTTTTCACATGACACGCGTGTCATGATGATCATGTTTGCACCAGTCGTATACCTTCGCCATTCGCGCACGTCACTTATATATATATATATGTGGAGCTAGCGAAGTGGCCACAAGCGCATCATGAAGAACCCAATATATTCCGACGTAACGTTTACGCACGCGCACGCTGGGCGCAGCGGCGCTATACGCTAGCAGAACGCGAGAACTGTATAGTCTGACGCCAGACACGACCGGAGTGACCAGTGTCCGTCGTCACGGCCCGGCTACAACCGGCGCGAAATGCGACATCTGACATGCTGCATTTCGCGCCAATGACGTTACCCAGACAGCACTGCGTCTGCCACTTTTCGCGACGGAGGGACACCAGCCGTGCTCAAACGCGCATGCGTCAAAGACACGCAGCGCGACAAAACGATTGCCGGCGCGCACGCGCGCTGGGTCACGTAGAAGTGTACTAACGCCTTGAATGTGGCATGTAGTCATGTTACATGACACGCATGTCATGATTATCATGTTTGGACGTGTCATTTACCCATGTCAGCCGTTCGCGTCACGTAATACTGAATTTGGTATAAGTGAAGCCAGCGAAACGGCCTCGGGGACATCAAGTGCGTGGCATATGAATTTCATCACGTTTGCACCAGTCACATACATTCGTCATCCATTCACGCCCCGTAATACCAAATTTGCTATAAGCGAAGCTAGCGAAACGGCCGCAAGCGCATCATGAGCGTGCGCATGTTATGTTACATGACACGCATGTCACTATTTTCATGTTAGGGTCGGTAACTTGTGTTCGACTTGCAGTCATGTCATACCATACCAGCTTTGCAACATGTCATGTGAACGAAACCACCGCAAGAGCTGCAAGACTATGAAATGTATATCATGACATTCATGGCATGCACGCCATGCTTTTCATGTTATGACTAGTCACTTATGCTCGTCATACAGTCATCTTATGCCATACCAAGTTTGGTATGGATACCATTATCGAATCGGCCAGGAGAGCTAAAAGTCGTAGGCGGCTATACAGTCAGACAGACACTCCCAAAGTCACCGAAGTTCGCTAAGAAATGCTTCGCATTTAAAAAGCGCCGTGTCAGAAGGTTTTGCGATTCCGCATGATCGAAGAGGCAGTAAATTGAGTATATGCGTCGTATGGCGCATGACAAAATTAACAAACCGACACGTGCGGAAATAAGCGTAGAGGGCTGCCTGGTAAAAATAAACTGCCGATCGACTCGGATGGGCCAATCATCCCGCTTCCCCCATTGGAGCTTAGCAACGTAAAATTGTGTTACTAATTAATTTTACCATTGTCATAAATCCACAGTGCATTTTGGCTCAAGATCGTACGGTAAATGAAGTGGAGGGCAAAAGTACAATTAATTCGATAAAATGACGATCTGGGAGATTTATCGGGCTGTAAGTAAAATGCTTTCTTTTGTACTGTTCCGCGATGGGACTGTATGTGAGGCGGCTGCCTTACCGTTCCCATCGAGGTTTTGGCGAACGTAATCCACGGCCTGCCGGAAGTCTTCGTCCTTAGTCACGTTCAGAGGAACGATGTGCAGCTTGCTGGACGCCTTCATATGGAGATTCTTCGCACCTTCGCCATGTGGGAAGAGACATCCCGCAAACACCTGAGCAAAATGGAAGGAATTATCACTACCATCATTATTCCTTTCCCTTCTATTTCTTTTACCCCAGTGTAGCGTAGCAGCTAGAGCCTACTATCACTCTGGCCGACCTCTTTGCATTTTTTTTACATAAACCAGTCAGTCTCTCCCCCTTCTATAGAAAAAAAATGGAAGAAAGTGAAGCTTGGTGTGTGTATGCCTGGATGATCCCTACTCTCTCTCTCTCTCTCTCTCTCTTTTTTGATCGCTCAATGCTCCCTTCTAATCGTTTCCTTCCTACATGCGGGAAATCTCACCTTGACCCACGTGCTTAGCAGCTCAATCAGAGTGCTGTGGGTCCTGTTATTGGACAATGCAGTATGTACCTATTATCCGGTCTAGGGATTCGGGGAAACGAGACTTTTTATAATCAGTCCTCGCAGGCTGCTTAGGGAGATTTTTCGATGTAGGGCTTTGGGCCAGAGAGCTCTAGCGACGAATATAATGTATATATATCCTCTACAAGGTTCACCTTCCTGCTGCCTCGACATCATCATCCCGGATCTCTGGTGCCTGCAAAGTCCGGTCGCAACAACGCACAAAAAAAAAAAGAAAAAAACGCCGAACTACCGTTGTCAAGACACATTTCGCTTTCGTGTTATACCGATCTCTAGAAGGAGGGAACAGCCACGTTTTTCATTATTACTTTTTCAATAAAGCAGCCAAAGCAATGAGGTCGTCTATACGGAGAAAAATAAAAGAAGGCGTAATTCATAGTCGATAATCTCCAATTCGTACCATTAAGCCGCTGGCACAAGAAAATCCAAGCTGACTTCTCATACAGGAGTCAATCAGCTAGGAATGAAACTTGTCGCAGTATATTTCTCAACTATCCCTTTCATAACTCTTCCGGAACTTTTCGCGGTTCCTCAGAACTTTTTTGAAAATACGACTGCGAGTGGTTTTCACTACTTCTGAGTGAGTGAGAGAGAGGGAGAGCGAGTAATAGGGAGTGTCAAGCAAGGAAAGGCAAGGTGGTTGACTCACAGATATCAAGGGCTTGTTTGCTCTTGATATCTATCTTGGTCTTGTGAAGCAAAAGGTTACGGCACGCGTCCGATGTGCATTCGGTGCTACAAACATACCTGCGAGCACTACACGCGCAGCATAGCCTCGCTGTGAAGTCCACTACAGTGTTAAAAGTGCTAAACATGCGCACTTACTAATGATCCGATCAGTTGTACCACCATCCGCAAGAACAAAAGATTCAACGCTGCTTCCACCGATGTTCTAGAAGGTTTCAATGGTGGAAACGAATCATCTTGCGAAGACGTTGTCCCATGTATCGGACCGTCTTAACGCGCGTGCGTTTACCGCGCAATGCTTCATGGTTGCCGGTTCTTCGCACGACCGTCGTGTTACGAACAGTGTTCGTAAGTCAGATTGCACGCGGTTCTATGTCACGTGCGTTACTATCAAACCGCTCAACGAACGTACCTGAAAACCCAGCCTGTCGAGACGCACAGCAAGCCGGTGGCCGAAGCCGCTGTCGCAGCCGGTGATGAGCACGGCCTTTCCCGTGGCCGACACGCCGGAGTCCGGCAGCAGACTGTACAGGAAGTACCCGAGCGTGAAGAAGCACACCAGTGGCAGCCCGATGGCGCACGAGGCGTACACCAGCGGCGTCCATAGCGCCGGCATCAGACGCAGCGCCACGTACGTCAACGTCGGTGTCAACAGGTACACCGTGAGCTCGCGGTACATGTCCTCCTGCAAGCACAGCGTCAACGAATGTAGAGCGTCAGGAATGAAGCAATCATCGTCGGCGTTGCAGTTTGAAGCGTATTGCAGTTCTTTGTGGCATAAATGACATCTTACAATTTTATGGACACAACGATATTGTGAAACGGTCTCTAATGACATTTGAAAGCTATAAATTGTAACAACGTGGAACTACGATACTTCAGAATTGTTCACAAAGTGTACAGACAGTCAGTGAACCGATGTAAAAACATTGACTTTCACAATAATTTGTAGCCAAAGTGGGATGCTGCGCCACGCAGTACGGATTAAAGGACGCAGCTATAGGCAGTCCAACGGGCCCACGACGTGGCGGACAGGTTAGGCCTATCTGTCCCCACGTGGGAGCGGCCCGATACGTACGTGCTAGTTCATACAACGACGACCCTAAATAAAGTTTTTCTATACCATATCACGGATCAGTTTATACGGAGTGAATTCTTCATATGTGTCAGAGAAATACATCAGAGACACAGAGAAATACATCGAACCATATATCGCACATATCGAACCCGACAGTGAGAGCGACAGAGAGTTACGAAAAATCGGGGGGGTTTGACCAGACGCGTGACCGGTATTATACACAGAAGCGCGCTCAAGTATGAGAAAGTTATAGCATCCTATAACGAAGAGAAAGCCATAAATGATTCGGAAAATAAGCTACGCGCGGCGTCGGCTTATGTACGCTAGCTGTTTTCCCGACAAGTCCGGTAATTTCAAGCCCTTAATCCACGCAGGCTATCAGGCCGTTGAAGCGAGGTGGGCCATTCACAAAGGATCGCTTGTGTTGGCAATACGAAAGACGAGGTCATACCGATGAGAGGGAGCGGACGCAAAACAAACACGAGCGGACAAAGCATGCACACGGAGATGCTTGCATGTCCTGCTTTGCATATCCACTTTTGTGATCTCCGCTGCTTGTTGTCTCGTGTTAGAAAGCTTCTTGTTGTATCCCCGTCTCTAAGGTGTGCCTGTTCTCACAATGTAAGCCTTGTGTTCGTAACAACTTGTACATTTCCCTTTCTCTATTTCAGTCAATAGAGAAGACAAAGCACCAAACGAGCCGGTAGATTCAGATAGTCCAATCGCAGAGCCTCCATTGTTGCATACATTCCCAAAAGTGCCTATCAAATGCAGCGATACGTGCGCACATACCTAGTACATGTACATTAAGGGCTCCACCATTTGTGAAAGGTTAAAACAGTGCGAAGCGGACGTAACACAATGAAGGAACACATAGGACGAGTGCTGTGTGTACTTTCACAGTGTTTCGTATCATGTGCGACGCGACGAACCACACTTGGGAGTCGAGACTCCGCATTGTGTGTTCCGCCGGTAAACAGGAGCACACGTATACAGAATCGGGCGCAGAGGCAGACAAATATGTTGGTAGTACAAGCAAATAGGGCTGCAGCACAAGGAAACAAGACTGTACAGCGAACGCGACGCGCACGTAAAAGATAATATGTAGTCTGAAGAAAGGGAATGTGGTTGGCCGCCATAGCTTTTGCATAGCGTGCTGTTCCTCTCCAAAGTAAGGGCTAATGAGAGACGAATAAATAAATATCTGCAGGTTGCTAAGCTGTCACACAACGAGTTACAAATTGCTGATGTGCAAACTGCTGTTGTTTCTGGGGGTAGATCTCGTCGGGCGTTAATGCCTTCAGTCCTCTCTTTCAGTAGCCCCTTCAGTTCTCTCTTTCAGTAGCCGAAGTGCAGTTCTACTTTTTTGCACTAAAATAAAAAATCAAACCTCTGTGCGCGGAAGTGAACTATAGACACGCTGCAAGCAGAAGTCTTCAGAAGGCACATGCGTGATGTGTGAACAAAAAAGAATTAAGATATTTTTTCAGCGCGATTGAGTGTCGGACCCTTAAATGCACGGTAGATAATCCGGACTCTCAGATCTTTACGGAGGAGACATTTTTGGGCGCATGGAGACGTATTATCAATGCCCGTGCAGACAGCTGTTGTTGTAGAGGATGAACGAGTCCTTCGAATCAGAATGTAGAGCTTCGTGATGTGAGCGAAAGAGACTGATGTGCGTGAACAGCTGACCTTAAAGTTATTCCTTGTATTATATTTCCCTGCATTCATTCCCAACAGGCCCCGCCGTGCTCATCTCATTTCCCACCTGTCCGCATGGCAGAAAAACGCATCTCCAAAGAAACATTTTTTTGAACACCATTTTTTTTTGCACCTTAACAAGGGAGCTACAGGCTCCTTGTACAGCATATATTTGATAGCCTTGCAGTGTGGATGAAATTGCTACAGTACTTTTTCCAACGTCGTTCGCGCACAACATCACCTTTATAAACGATCACGCGTACTCAGCATGCGCTTCGACGGTCATTTTTCGTATGGTCGGTCATTTTTCGATCATATTGCAGCGGCACCAGCGCGCCATATCGAAGACTGGCGTAATTTATGATCATGCCTCTTTCCGGACATTGCCGAGAGAGGAAACAAAGGGGGAGGGCTCCACGAGAAAGTTACGCTTTTTCGCGATTAATTGAACTTCGAACGCGACCGCGCGGTTGTGAACAAAGGACTTCTTTGCCCGAATGGTATACGACATTGCCGCGGGGTGGCAGAGGATCGCGTGATCTGGGCACTCGATCGAAGAACACCTCTATCGCGTGGTTATTGTTGGATAAAGAGGTCATTCTGCGAGGTCGGATCAGCGCGTTGCTTCTTGTGTAGTCTCGAAAATAGTTTTCTTTGACGAATCTCGTGAGCTGCCGGGCAACGGTCCCTTCCCTGAACGCGAGGCGTGAGTATTAAACTGTATACATAGCGTATTGCAGGTATGTTGCCTGTGAGGCACGACAGTAACCACAAAACTAATGTCGTCGCACTAGATGGCGAGATGCGAGACATTGAAATTGCGTTGCGGCGACGCAAGTCTACTGGTGTTTCCGCGTGCGAACCAGTAGTTTTCCGATCACAAATGTGCGGCGTGTTAGTCCCGTGACATAACAGCGTAGATGGGTAATTTCCGTGAATTCGCGGGACATGCAAGATACACTGCGACTAACGGGAAAAGCCTGATACAATGACTCGAAGCGAAATAAGAAAGCAACGAAAAAAAATGACAACCTGGCCTGTTACACATGCTGTGAATCAGTACGCTGTTAATAACCTACCTCACCACACCATTCTGCCCTTTCGAAGGTTGTATTGGAAGTGGCTCTGCGATAACGTACAGACCTTTTGAGGTAAAGCATATGAAATACTGTAAATACAAACAGACCATTCCGGCAAGTGGCGTCTATGAGCAATGAGCAGCAAAGAAGAGATTTTAGGGGAGGGGGAAGGTATAAACAACAAGAAGGAAGGCAGGGAGGTTAACCAGGCACATGCCCGGTTTGCTACCCTACGCTGGGGAATGGGAAGGGGGCATAAAGATGCGAGAGAGAGAGAGGAAAGAGGAGAAAGAGAGGGAGATTTTAGAGTCAGAATGAAGGCAACGGATAGTACTCACTCACGGGGCTAAAGGTTGTACCACACTCGGACTAGAAAGGCACGCCCGAGAACGCTCACGGGCCTTTCCAGTTCATCCGTGCGCCGCGTACGCAATTACTAAAGAATGTTGATGGGAAAACAGCCCGTTCGGCCCTGCAGGCTCAACGCTGGAGATATCAGCGCAAGCAAATACATTTATCTAGGTACAAAAAACGATTAACTTGGCGAGAACAACTGTCTCGTTTGATCCACCGCAATGGCGCCCAAATATCCATGATAGTTCGGAGTGAAGGATAACGAAAAGCCACGGATGACGTATTTTCTGCACTCTCGAAGTCGAAAAAAAAAACGTTAGCGTCCTGGTTTACGTTTAAGGCACCAGAATTGCTGCATAGATGACACCTCACTCCCAATAGAGGCAATCTTGAGCAACATAGTCACACACTAATCCCTTCAAGGTAATACCTCCCACACGGTTTACTTCGAGGGCGTAAGTGGAAGGCAGTGGGATACGATCATAGCTACTATACATAGACACACGTTTATTTTCCTTTTAGCTGACCCCGTAAGACCTTTCCCCTGCAGTGCCTTTCGCATCGCTCGTGGGCTGTGGCGTTTCATGTTTATTGAAACCACGGTCACGGCTACTTCCTGTCTTTCTCCTTCTCTTCAGCTGACCTGAATCGCATTCCGTAATCCTCACGCAATCCTCTTGATAGCCCGTAAAGAGTGTCGTGCCCGCAGTAGTTTTTGTATCTGATCATTTGTATCAGCGGTGAAGCAATGTATAGAGACAGGGTAACGTTCTTGTGCCTGAACAACCGTGCAAGACGAACGCGCCTGTCCTAATCCGTGTTTCCACAACCAAACACCACTAGTTTCAACCAAATTAAACTTATTCTCTGACAAATTTTAACTACGTTATTCTAGCGGTGTTCTAATTTCAGAACAATGCATAACACAGGGATGTATTTTACGCCAGAGTCGCAGCACATCCCGAAATGTTCTTTGTTTTTCGCCATAAAGTTGAATCTAACTGCGGCATAAAAGCATTTCATGAAAGGATGAAATAAGGCTGCATGACCTTTTACCAAGATACCGCAGCTTATCTTGGCTGGTTGGCAGCTTTGTCAAGAGATTATATTGCCGCGACAGGTTGGCCACGTTCAAGTAGCCGCCGCAATCATCATGGCAAGAGCACCAGCAAGACCCGGCTGGCATGCGTCACGCGTTCGTGCGCTCCAACAACGAGGAAGAGGAAGTTAGTTGAATCTGTGCCTCTCGGCTACTCGGACTCGACGACCATAGTCATTAGACTTGGAGGCACAAGTTCGCCCTAATAAAGTTGCGTGTTTTTTTTTAAATAGCGGCAATATAGAACTGTTGTACAGCATCTTTCCAGCAGCTGTCAAGATTGCCAAGTCCTTTATTGTATTTCGGGTAAAATGGTGTGCGCAAATACAGACAACGACACCGAAAGGGTGGGACAGGTCTTTGCGCT